CCAGTTCTGGCACTGGCGTACTGTCAACACACCTTCTCCATACACATCAGTCAATTTCTTTCTGGCTTGAACAGCATTTTTACCCTTTCTGTAGTAAAACATTAAGATATGTAGAAAATGCTGCTTATCGATCTCCATATTTAAAAGGGCACCAACCAAAAACTACTGCGTAGAATTAATTGGAATTTTTCACACAGAAGCCTTGCTATATGAGCTCTCAAAGCATATAAAAATTATACGGCTTAAATGTGAAGTTGGGTGCAAAAGAATACAATTAAATCCTCTGTCGGGAAAAAACGAAATGACTTTCCGAACAACCCGATAGTTTTAGGGAAATGCAAGGGTTAACTCAAGATAGGAAAAAGTGGAGGTACGTGTCCAACCAATCTTAGGACTGACGACCTTATAATGATGGATGATGATGGTGTTAACACCCTGTATAATGTATCGTTACGCGGTACTCTAACAGTATATTTACGTTCCCCATTCGCTCTAATAATAACGCTACTTTTAGCATTTCAGACAGTGTACCCAGCAAAGTACATAAACATTGATGCATTAGACGTATATAACGTACAGGTATACGGAACAGCACTTACTTTAACAACGGATCTGTCTTCAGTTTCTCCAAAATGGTGACGTATGGAACACCCAATACCCGGTCGATAATGTGTATAATACCATTTGTGGCAGCGAAATTTTCTTGAACCACGGTCGCGTTCACGCCGCCTCCTTCAACCGTCAATATCCTTTCCGTTTTCGTTGCCAGCACGTTGAAATACAAATTCCTTCTTTTAGCGAGGGTTGGAACACGGAACAACTGAAACAAAGTAGAAAATTTGAGTAATTTTTCACATTGTTTAACATTTCACTGTCATATGATAAAAACAGAATCCTTGCACTATCGTCATGCCCATTTGTCTGTATCGTTTTCATAGTCAACTTCCTCGAAAAATATTGGGTCAAAAGCGAACAATTTGATTAATCTCTATTTAGATCAGTTGTACAGTTTTAAAATTTCGAAGTAGGTGGAAAACAAAATTGTTAGTGAGATGAACAAATTGGATGTGTTAATGAGATCGATAGAAAAATTAAAAGAAGAAAGCTAAGAAAAATTGAAAGAAAGTGATTAAGAGCAAAAAAGAGAGGTATGGAAAAGAGAAGATGGGAAAAGTCAGAACAGAAACTAGATGAAATTCAGGAAATATGAAAGATCTGGAGAAAGAGACTAGTGGAAAGTACAGGAACTGGAAGAAAGAGTGGACAAATTTAATGAAGAATGTGGTACGGAATGGTTTAAACCAGGAAAGGCCAACTTTAAAGAAAAAGTGAAGGAAGACTGGACAAGTCGGGAGATAACCTGCTGGAAATTAGAAATGGTAGAAGGCTGGAGCATACGGAGGTTTATATAAGAGAAGATATGACGACTATGGAAAGTTGGAACATATGGCAAAAGAGCGAAAAAAATTCTGATGAAGCGGTTACATTTTGGGTACAGAAAGTTAATAATAGATGAGATAGTACAGGTAGGCGGAATAAAAAGATGAAATGGTAAAAAGAAAGAAGAAAAAATGACGTTACGTTAGGAATGAAAAGGTAGGTAGGGATAATAAATAGGAATAAGAATATAAAGTGAAAAGAAAAAAGATCATTCGTTGGTAGATTGTGAAGTTGTAGAACTGTAAAATAACAAGTTTGGTTTAATAATGTTTATATCTTTATATATTCATATATAACAATTTACTTCCCTACTTCTATCTTTCTGTTCCTCGAAAAATATTGGGTCAAAAGCCAACAATTTGATTAATCCCTATTTAGATCAGTTGTACAAAGTTTTAAAATTTCGAAGTAGGTAACATTTCTGTACCATTTGCTTAGTGAATCAATTGATGACACTTGCTTAGCAAAAAATTGGAACTTCGAAAGCAAGATCTATTAATTATGCAAATGTGGAAATCTAGTAAATAAAATATTCCAAATAGGAAAAGTGTTTAATTCAGAAAATAATATGTTATTAGAGAATGTATAAAAGTTAAAGATAATACATCGACTATTCAAACGGAAGAAACGAAAATCACAAGGGATAGATGGCAAAAGGAAAAAAAAATTCTTTTTTTAGAAAAATAATGGACGATCGCACACTACAGATGGAAACTGGAAAATGACAGAAGTGTCTGGTAAGACAATAAAATACGGAAAGAATGGGAGGAAAAAACAAAATTATTTGAAGACGAAACAGCACAGTAAAAACGAATTAGTTTTAACAGCAAGATTTAGACAGGGTGGTAAGAATAGGAGGGCTGCTACTGGGAAGAAGAAGAGAAGAATATATTGAGGTTTGTAGTGATCTACTCAAAAAGTATTGCGAATTTTGAATTTCCGCGGGTTACATATATTCCATTTTCGATTTTTTTGTGGCGTTATGTTGGTACTCATATCTCTCACCTATACCGACAAAGCCATATTGAACGTTCAGTTAATTTTTAACAGCTGTTTTGCTTGAACGTGTTTTGGCTCGTCTTCGATTTTTGCCTAATTCAAAAAATAAGATTTAAGAATCTGTATCAAATTTTGTGTGAAAAGCAAAATTAAGTGCGAGGGCGCATTGCGAATGTTGACTGTGGCATATGGTGAAGCTACCTTGCAATGGTCCGAAGCAACTTTTATCGGTGGAACCAAATATTCTCAGAGGGCCGAGAAGAACGAAGAACGACGAAGACCGTACCGGATACTCATGCACGTCAACAACAGACGAAAACATCGATGAAGTGAAGAAAATAATATTGGTCAATCATCGAATCGTTGTTAGAGAAGTTGCTGAGGACCTAAACATATCGATTCGTTCATGCCATTCGATTTTGATCAATGATTTGGGCATGAGACAGGTCGCCGCGAAATTCGTACCAAAATAGCTCAATTTCGACCAAAAACCACATCGCATTAACATTGCTAAGGAGCTGTTCGACTCTATCCGCGACGACCCAAATTTGCTCCAGAGGGTTATAACCGGTGACGAATCATGTGTTTATGGTTATGACGTGGAAACCAAAGCTCAATCATCCCAATGGAAGCTGCCGTACGAGCCAAGACCAAAAAAAGCGCGCCAAGTTAGGTCGAATGTGAAGTTATCCGCCAGAACCGCCGGATTCGTGGAACAACATAAATTGATAATGCCCCTGTTCACACATTGTTGGTTGTTCGCGAATTTTTGACCAAAAACAACACACTAATAATGCCGCAGCCACCGTGTTCTCCAGATATAACCCCCTGTAACTTTTTGTTGTTCCAGAAACTGAAGAGGCCTATGAAAGGACGACGCTACGCTACCATTGAGAAGATAAAGACGTCCCAAGATCACAGAAAATAATTTTTTGAAGTGTTTCGAGGATTCGAAAAAGTGTTGGCACAAGTGTATAATATCTGGAGGCGATACTTCGAAGGATACAAAATAGATATTCATGAAGAAATAGTAATTTTTGAAAAAACACAAAATACTTTTTGACAGACCTCGTATACCTAGGAAGCAAGTAAAGGTACAAGGATGAGAGAAAATAACAGATAAGCGAGAAGAATAAAAAAGTATAGTTTATAAAATTCATATGTAAGGCAGGTATAGAACAGCTAAATGTAATAGTCCACCTTTTAATAAAGCTTTCTATCTAATATTAGAAATATACCCTTATTTTTTGAATCCGATTATAAAATTATGCCCATTTGTCTGTATCGTTTTCATAGTC